AACTCTCAAAGAATAACTGGAGTCACAGGTTGGTATGTCCCATCGTGTATGATTTGCAGAGGGGAGATGAGAACCAGAATGTACCTGGGATCGCTGAATGCTGGATACTAGTTTGGAAACATGAAGGAGAACCGGAGAGGGGAAGCACAAAGGAGTTAGACAAATCTGTGACCTAGCAAGTGAACTCAACAGTCGGGACAATCAAGACCCCACCTCTGCCCAGCAACCATGCACCAGGTGAATGTCTCCTAGAAACTGGATTCTCCAGCTGGGGCAGAAAAGGGGAAAGTTATCCCAGGGCTGAGATAAAGTAAAGGTGGAATGAAGAAAGCTAAAGATTCTTTGCAAACCTTGTTTGCTAACAGATACGGGGCCTACAGAGAACTTTAATTGTTAAGACACAAAGCAGAACAGCAAAAAGCAAAAAGGACCATATAAAAACATCTCCTAATGCAAAATAAAGGTAGTATATAATTTATGATAATAACAGAAGAGACTTCCATAAACTGTGTACAAGTTGTTTGAATAAGACAAAGAGTTGGAAGAGAGTAAAAAAAATATGGCCCCAGTAAAACAGGAAGAGAGAGCCATGAGGAGAGCACATCCTAAGAGCACAGCAGCAACAAAATGGAGGACGCTTAGAGTATGTCCTAACAGCTGCAAACTGGAAACAACTCGAACACCTGTCCAGAATAACAGATAAATAAATTGAGGCTTATTTATAGAAAATGGAACACATACATTAATGACAATGAATGAACTTCAGCTACCGTCAAAAAACATGGTTGAATCTTGCAAATATAATGTTGAGGACAAGAGGCTGGACACAAAAGAAGAGATATGGCATGACCCCACTGAGCTGAAGGGAAAACCAAACACACTTCAGCGATGACAGAACGTCAGGACAGTGGTCGTCTTCGAGGAAGAGAGGTTGGGGAGGGCCCTCGGGGACTGCAGGGTGCCAGTAACACCTCATTCCCTAACCCAGGTGGTTGGTGCATGTTTCACGTTCCATAAGAACTGAACTGCACATTAGTAGTTTTCTGTATCATACTGTATTGTACTGTATTTTATTATACTGTATTATATTCTATATTCTGTGGTATACATTGACCAAAAAGTTGGGAAAAAAAGGAGAGCTACTAAAACAAAATCAGGCTACAAATAAACTGAAACTTTCATCTATAAGCAAAATAGGCTCTAAAGGTAATAATAAAGAAATTTTTTGAATGGCTGCAGACAACTGAATCAGTCATGTGGAAGACAAACTTAAGAATGAATGCAGAAATGCAAAAAGGGAAAAATAATGTGAGAAGAGACACATATTGTGGAAAACAAACAGTGAAGATCCAGCATTAAATGGAAGGCATTCCTGAAGAAAAAACAGAAATAACAGCCATCAAAGATGTGAGAGCAAACTAAGCTAAGCTAAAAGGAAGACCCAAGACAGCCATCTGAGGGGCTGACACTGTTACTGGCAAAAATAATGTGAAATACCCAAACTCAGACATTTCACACCAGCCATGAGGGAGCTGTGAGGAGAGCATGCCCTAACATCACAGTTGCACAAGAGATGGCTGAGTTATATCGGAATAGCCCCAAACTGGAAACAACCCAAATATCCACCTGAATCGAACAGATATAGAAACTGAGGTATATTTATATACAATGGAATACCACATATCAATGAAAATGAATGAACTTCAGATAGAAGCAAATTTAATTAAGATTAGGATCGCAGAACAAGATTATTCAATAAATAGCATTGAGAAAACTGTTTTGAAAAAATTATAATTCCTATGTGTAATAAAATTCCACATGACACACTCTAAAATGTACAAGAGACTGCTTATAAATTTTGTATGTACATAAACTCTATGGGTAGATTGCAAACTCCTCAGGCACAGGCAACAAATATGATACTTAGTTGATTTCCTCCTCCACCCAGAAATCATTTGGGTAAACATTCCTGGAATGAATGAATGAATAGGAATGAGTAAATGAATGAATATGAATGAATGAATGAATGTCTCAACCAATTCCTCGTTGCTGAGTTTGTTCGGTGATTTCCAACTCCAATTTGGCCAACTTGATGCAGCTTTGCATTTTTTCCTCCTGATCTTTGTTTAAAGAGAAGAAATAGAAACTTCCCAGAGTGAATGGCAGCTGGAGATGGTCTGCGTGGGGAGTGGCTCTTTTCATGCCTGGTCTCAGAGGGTAATCACTCAAGGACTGGGTGCCTTTGACCCTTACACTGAAGAAAATGGGCATTCCATCCCTGGTGATGAACACTAATCAGGCGGGGGAACCTGTCCCACGTAACCCATATGCAGAAAGCTAGAGCCACTGCGGGGTGGGGAGAGGGGAGCAGTAAGGGAGGACAGTAGCTGGACCACAAAGGATGCTTCAATGTCCAGCAGCGTCCAATACAGCAACTCCCTGTGCAACACCACACATCCTCTGAGGATAAAAGAGTGGCCCGGAGCTACAGGACTTTAGGGCTTGGCTTGACACGAGGCAGGCCCAAGAGAACGGCAAACAGGAAAAAACCTCAGAAACTTCGGCTTCCCCAAGAACCAACCCACGGTCATCTAAACTGATTTGGGCCAGTTCGTTTGCAGACCCTGCCACCTGCTCTAAACTCAGCATGCATCTGCACAGCCCTGCCCAGAGCCCCGAGGTGCTCATAATAAAGCACGAGCAGTCATAACTCAGGGTTCACCTTGGCAAAAAATAGATAAATAAGCAGAAGGAATCTTCTGTCAGAAAATAAATGGCCCTTCTCCAAGCTAAGAGCCTGGATTACCTTCCTGAAGGACAAACACAGCATCCTCACTCGCCAGCCTCAGGCCATAAAGCCTAGCTTCGCTGGATCAGGGACCCCGACCAGGGCTTCCACTGCTAAGTCTGCCCACCTGGGCTGGAGGGCTGTAGCATCACTGCCTGCTCACCGCACCTGCGGAGAAGACATGCTTCAGCCCTGCTCGGCTGCCTGGGCCTGAGTGAAACCAGCTCCTCGGCTCTACTGCTTGCCCAAGAACATGGAGGCCATTTCTGCCAGGCACCCCAAGCGAGGAGAAGGGCTGAAAGCCAGCCATCATCCTCTTGAAAAGCTGTGCACCCCAAAGGTGCCCAGATTTAACAGAGAAAAAAGCCTTGGAGAAATCATGTCTTGATTATTCATGGCAAAGTGGAGAGGGAGGAAGGAGGGAGATGTGAAAGCCAGGATGTGTGAAAGCCACAGATGATTTCCCAACTTCATTTGGTTGGTATTCACAGCCTCTTCAAGAGGCACCAGTTCTCGGGGCCTCCACTTAGCAGGGCCCCACCATGAGGCTCCCAGTCCTTCCTGCTACCTGATGACTAAACCCAGGGAACCTACTCAAACATGACGCAAACCCACCCAAATCAGTGCATCACCTGCCCTAATCTCCACTCCCAGGGTGCAGGAAAGCCTGGGCCTCACCTTGCCTACCAAACGCAGCCAGCCCAGCCTGGGCCTTCCGGTTTGTTTTTTGCTTTTTTTTGTTGTTAGGAAGATTGTCACTGAGCTAACATCTATCTCAATCTTCCTCTATTTTGCATGTGGGACACCTCCACAGAATGATATAATGAACGATGTGTATGTCCACGCCCGAGATCCGAACCTGTGAACCCAGGGCTGCTAAAGTGAAGCGTGTGAATGTAACCACTCTGCCATGGGGCCAGCCCCTGCCTCGGCCTTCTTTACGGTCACCAGGCCAGACCCACTTTGGAGGTGGTCAGGGCTCTATTGCTTCCTTCTGTGTCCTGTATCCAAATGTCCGTTGGCCAACTGAAGGCCAGGAGATCCGAAGGGCCTGCTCTTCTCTCCGGCCACCAGTCTCTGTCCAGACTGCAGTGAGCAGCTGCTGGCCCGAAGGAGCCAGGCTCCTCCCACATCACTCCCACATCCTCTAACATCCCAGCCTCTCCTCGGACCCAGCCCTCCTGCGTTCCTGTAAATAAGCACACTCTAGAGAAGCAAGCACACCAAGTGGACAAGAGCAGGAAAACTATCCCTGGGCCCTAACCTTCGCTTTCCTCATCTCCCGCTGATCAGGAAGCAAGTTTGGCCTCCCTGACCCAGAGCCGCATCTCCCAACTTCCCCTTGTGAGAATTGTGCACAGAGAAAGCACACTTACAGAGCAAAGATGTGGGCCATCTGGGGTAATTTTGACTTCTCTGTTTTAGAAAGTAAATTTAAACTTCACGTTTTAAAATGGTGTCACACGAAACACAGCACTCCAAACACTAGGGAAAACTGATTCCGGTTTGGCCTCAGCAGATATAGCACCTAGGTACAGCATCTGGCTGAACCAACCTAATTCTCTATTCTAGAAAAAAATTCCTTCTTCCTCTTTTTAATTTTTTCTAATCAAAGGGTTAGTTTACCCATGGGGAGACTGTGGGGCCCTGTCCCAGGATGAATGTGGTCCTCATATTCCCAGGTTTGTTCCCATCCCTAACCCTGCCCTGAGTACCCAGAGCTGTACTGTGTTGCAAAGGGACAGGGGCAATTAAAATAATTGCTGTCCTTCCCACCTTGACATGGCTTCCAGATGATTCTGATCTGGATAAGGATTCAGAGCACCATGGCCACAAGTCAAGAGACAGCAGTTAGCAGGGCTTCAACCTCCCCTGCACCTGGGCCCCATCGTAAATGACAATATGAAAACACGACAACACTACTGGCGACAAAGATTCCATAACCTGGAAAATACATTTTGGGAGTTGAAGGCTATCCCCTCAGTCAGTATCCAAGAAACCAAAACATTCACCATAGATCTTTCAGGCTATAAGGTCTATCCCACACAAAGAAGTCACTTAGGCAGATTTATCTCTGAACTCTTTCCCGTTGTACCACGGTTAGATTTGGACACAACTGGTGGCCAGAGCCTGGTGCTTTCACCTTAGATGCACAATAGCCACAAATGCCTCCCTTGGGTGGCTAACCTCCCAGACAGGGCTGGCTCCTTACCGTCTAGCTCCTCCACAGAGATGTTAGCAAGCTGCTCGCTGTCGCTGCCAGCAGAGAGAGAGCGGTTGAGGTAATTCCCCTTGTACAACAGGCCAGCGGTCACATGGTGGAAAGGCATCTTCTCCCTGTTCACAGGAGAGCAGGGGGCGGGGAAAGAGACATCATCATTCATTCTTCCTTTCCTTCCTTCAAGGACCACCTCAGTTTTCAGATGGCCAGTGTCACTTTTAAAATAACAATAACATTTCTAGAGGGAAAGTCAGAAAATTCCAGGGTCCCCTTGGCCTGAACAATCTTAAATGATCTCAAGTTCTATCCTTCCCTTCAATTCATGTCTTACTTCATTTTTCCCATTTAATTATGAATTTGAACCATGTTGTCTTTGCAGACTGTGGGACACCATGTCATCATAAAACCCTCTCTCCATGCAAACAAGAATACGCCCTGCTCCTTTTCTTGGCCTGATAAACTCTTTCTCAGTCCTTGTCAGAAAGGGCTGTGCATCCAAGAAATGCTGGGCTGCCCAGGGACAGGGTGTCCTGGCTGTGACCATGGGGAGATCCAAGCGTTTCTCTTCTCCCAGGTAAAGCAGGTGTTCCACTCACACAGCACTCACAGAGCGGGGAGATGCCCGGGCTCTAAGTAAACACACACAGCAGTCTGCACCTCTGAGAAGTAGCCCCCACACTGCCTGGGATGCAGACACCTGCTTGTATGAGTGGCTTACGAGCACACCCCTCTGAGATACCACTCACACCTGCCCTGCTGCAAAGGTAAGTGATGCCTTACGGTGCCCCAGAACGAAGCAGCTTCCAGCATTCTCACAGGAAACTAAAGCATCCCCTTGGACCAGAATAACAAGCCCTCCAGGCAAAGCTCCTCTGCCCAGGCAGCCACCACTGGGGCTTAGAAGTTCCCACAAGCACAAGGCAGGCCGGAGCCTCCAGGCTAAGGTAGGGGGGAGGGAAGAGAGGCATAAGGAGAATGAAAGAGCAGGCACAGAACAGAAAGAGGAAGGGCAATTAGAAAGGTGGGCCTCTCCACAGCAGAAAGAACCCGGCTGTCATGATAGGTGAGTCACTGAGCACATAAGGTTCTGCTTCCCCATGTGGAAAGGGGGCTAAGAGGACCGAGGACCGATAAGCCTCTGAGCAGAATTAGGGAATGGGTAGGAAGTATGCGGAGTGAATTATAAGGGACGGGTAAAGGACACCTTCTGAACAGAGCTCCAGAAGGGTCAGCTGGGCAGCACGGGAAGAAGTAATCTCCCCGCCACTGAGGGCATTCAAGGAGAGGCTGAGGGCCTCCCACCAGGGGTTCTGTGGGAGAGAAATGACCCCTGAGCTCTCTCCCCACACACCTATCAGACTCGTGTATGTCACTTTAGAGTCCCCTTGGCACTAAAGTTTTCATCTGTACCATAAGCTGAAGTGGCCCAAGCGGCCCCTCTGGGCACTGCTGGGTAACAAGGTGTAAATTACAGGAAAAGACAGCCAACAGAAGGTTAGTCTCTGAGGATGACTGCTCAGGGCACCCAAACCTTGCCATCCCTCAGAGCACACTCAAGTCACTGATCACGGGATGTTGGAGCTGGCAGGCACTAGGGAGTGAGGGCTCCTGTCTTCTCTTCCCTGGGACACCACTGAGTGACAGGCCCTGCAGGACACCCCCTCCACTCTCTCCCTCCAGTCTAGAGCACACACCAGCATGTCCCTGTTTGGGCTGAGAGCTGCTGACTTAGAGACCAACCAACGAGACTCCTAAAAGTAACAGGGCTTGACCAAGAGCACAAAGCCAGTTAGTGAAAGAATCAGTTCTGGAACACAAGCCTCCTTAGTGCTACTGCAACTAAGCAGCCTCGGCTGAGCACTAGACAGTTCCATCCAGACGTCAAACTCTCATTTCAAACCCAACATGTCTAAAAATGAATTAATTATCTTCCAAAAAAATACACCACACTTCCTGATTCCTTTATTTCTATGAAAGGTACTTTGCACTCATCATACAACTGGGAGAACTCTCCCAAATGTTCTGGGCCCCGAAAAGTAAAACAGACACATGGCTGAGGCAAGAGGCAGGTGTCAGCCTCCCAACCACCCTTAACTCTTTCCACAGCTAACAAATTATACCTCCCCAAGCCGATCACAAATGGCCGGATGCTAGATACAAAGTGTGCACACATTTGCCAATTATAAGGGGTATATCTTTAGCTGATTATCAGTCAGACCTCACCCTCCCAGCCGTTGGGGAGGCTCTCTCTACACATAAATAGAATTCAAGAATCTTTCTCTGCAAGGACGCTTCAATTACCATCTCTTCTTGTCTCTAAGTTAAATTTCAGACCAAAGAGGTTTAAAAGTGAGAATCAGACATACAAGTTAGGCCACTCCTGACCATTGTGCTGTGGTCATTTCAGTGTGGACAGGTTCCCAGTCTTGGGGATGAGAAGTCAACACCGGTTAACGCTTCCTATGTGTTTCCAGCTTCCCCCTCGGCACTGGCCCCCCAAGATCCTGGAGCCTCACCAGCTGTTATTTTAACCATCCTATAAGTCCTTCATAAACATGCAAAGACACCCTCACTGATCTTATCTAATTTCACTACCCAGAGAGAGCCCCACGCAGGTGAGTAGAGGCGCTGACAGCCTTCCTTCCCATTTCGCCACTCATCACATTAGTTCCCCAGCATTTTGTAAATATCTTCCCATTACCGCCTTTATCTGGCTGTCTGAAGCTTTGGATACACCACACAAATTTTTACAGCCTCAGTTACAAGGTTATACTCAAACGAACATATCCAAGCCACTCCCTAGCAGATAGTGCAGAGAAAACTGGTCATATCTGAATCCCACTTGATAGATCAACACAATTTGCTTCCGGAAAAATCAGCTTACAAAATTAGGTACACATTCAGTTCATCAGTCTCTGCAGCCAAAATGCTCAAAGTCCAGCGGGAAGTTCCAGAAACGTGCAAGTGAACTATCCATATCGATAAATAAAGTCATGTTCAGGAAAGGGAAGAACATTATCCCAAGTAAGCTAAAAACAGCTGCTGCAATTAAGGACTAAATTTTGCTCCAAGCCACTGATGGAGCTTTAAGAGCCCAAGCTTTAAGAGCCTCTCTTTGGCTAAGGAAGGGAAACATACAAGTTCACCAGCAAAGACAACCATGGTGTTGAACTAAAACTTAAAGACGGATCCTTACGTGGAGGTGAAAAAATATAAATATTTTCAACAGCAATTTTACTCATTGAGAAATATTAAAGAGATTGTTTATCATGTGAATAATTTGTATTTTTGGTAGGGCAATATGGTTTCATGGTCAAGAATCAGGACTTTCTCATCAAAAACAGTGTTAGATTTAAATCATAGCTCTGCGCTTAATAGCCATGTAGGTAAGTTACTTACCCTCTGTAAGCCTAGGTCTCATTCTCTGTAAAAGTAGGGTTTTGATACATACTGAATAGTATTTTTGTAAATATGAAATAAGATAAGGTATGGAAAGCACCAGACTTAGCACCAGGCACATTCTCAGTAAATATCATCAGTAAATTACTTGCTAAGGATTCTGTGAAGCAGGATCCAGGACAAAGCAGGTCTTGGATGCTTTAGGTGGAAGATAAAACATGCTGGGTTTTGAAGGAGGGTCAGTAAGGACCTGGCAGAGGGGGAGCTTCAGAGAGAAGCTGGCCGGCTTGGTGCATCACGGTGCTGAGGGATCCGGTGTGTGAGCAGCAGAGCACCAGGGGGTGGTGTCAGCAAGCAGCTGGCTGAATCTGGAGGAGGAGGCTGTTTGAATGGAAAGCATCAGAGCTGAAGAAGAGTCTATTTCCTGGGCTCCAGGGAGGCTGGCTCCATGGTCACATAATGGACAAGGTGTCGGGAAGTTAAAAACAAAAGAGGTAGCTCCTGTTTTCAGGATCCAGGAACTGGTATATTTCTTGGCAGAGTAATAAGCTGAAGAGCCCCGTTCACAGTGACTTGAGATGATGCCCTGCAGCGATGGTTTATTTCATCTGTCAACTTGACTGGGCCACGGGGTGCCCAGATATTTGGTTAAACGTTATTCTAGGTGTGTCTGTGAGGATGTTTCTGAATGACGTTAATATTTGAATGGGTCGACTGAGTAAAGCAGACTGTCCTCCCTAATGTGGGTGGGCCTTACCTAATCTGTTGGAGGCCCGAATAGAACATAAGGCAGAGTTAGGGAGAACTCATTCTCTCTGCCTGACTGCCGAGCTGGAGCACGTCTTCTCCTGCCCTTGGACTTGGACTCAGATTCAGACTGGAGTTTACACCATAGGCTCCCCTGGGTCTCCAACTTGCCAACCGCAGATTTTGAGACTTCTCAGCCTCCACAATCATGTAAGCCAGTTCCTTATAATAAATCTCTTTCTATACATACTCTGTTGATTATGTTTCTCTGGAGAACGCAGACTAACACACCTTCCACTTTTTTTCACTACAGTACCTAAGACCCTGGCACATTGCTATAGTCTGATATTATTATTCTGGACAAAGAGTATACCAAACATAATTCTGCATGGCCTCTGAAACAGTGCTACTCAAAGTGTGGTCTGTGAACCACGGCCAGTCGAACACTGTTTGTTGCTGGTCTGAATGAGATAAGCACAGGAATTGAGAGAATGCATTGAAATTTTTATAGCATTGTCCAAAGATCTAAGCATGTGACCAGTTGACTTGATTTTTGTATATCGTTGCTTTTTAATTTCTTTTTACAGTGATTCATTCTTACCTTATTTTACAAAAGTATCAGTCTGCCAAGGACTGGAACTTTAAAAAAAAAAAAAAACTAGTCTTTCCCCACTAACAGTTTAAGAAGCACTGCTCTAAAGTATTTAAGTTGCACAAATTTCTGGTAATGGACCACAAAGAGAAGAGGAAAGATATCCAGAGAAATGCATTTTAACTTGTCTCCGATACTTTTTCAAAGAACTTAAGATTTTTTAAAGTCTTAGATGGACTTTGGAAAGGAGCTGCAAGACCTCAGCTGAAGTCTGGGCTCTCGGTAGAGTGTCTGGAGTGTGTGGAATCTACTGCAGACTTGACAGGGGTTCCTGTCCTCTAATTACCAGACATACAAGGGGCTATGTTGACCTTGCAT